GTTGCTCGGCCACACCGGCTGTGCAGCAGGGATGGGGTTTCTGTGCTCAACAGCCTGCTCAGACACAGATTTCCTTTGCTAAGTGGCGTAGTTGTTGAAGGATTTCTTCCAATCCAAGTGGAAGGATGGATTCCAAAGCACACCCCAGCTGTGCTGAAACTGCTCTGTGTAAATGAAAGGAGCTCAGCGGGTACCAGAAGCCGCTGCCTCCTGTGCAGGTATCTGCGGGTGTAGGTGCAGAGGAGCTGGCATTGCCTTCCAGAGCAGCACCTCCACCCTTGCCAGGGCAGGGACACTCAGCCTAGAGCCCAGGCAGAGTGTGTGGAGCGAGGGAAGCGGGATTGCCAGGACAGCAGTGGGTGATGTGCGCTGCCTCTGCTTGCAGGGAATGCAACCAGTGACAAAACCGAAGGCAGGAAGAAAGGACGACCCAAGGCTGAGAACCAGGCACTGAAAGACATCCCTGTAAGACCCCAGACCCTCTGCTCCCTCCCTGACTTGCCCTCCACATCTTCCTGCATCGCATGCTCCAGCCAGCCCCATTCCAAGGTTAAACCTGCCCTTCCCAAGAGCAGCCTTGTCCTGGGCATGGCAAGATGTTGCCGTCTCCATCCCCTCCATGCAGGCATCCAGAAGCCTCGAAAACCTTGGTCAGGGAACACTAACCCCCTCCAGCCTCCCCTTCCCAGGGCCATGCCCAGATGAGCTGGATTCTTTCACTGACACATCAGGTTTGGCTGATGATCCAGCAAAGGGGTGATATATTCCCCGTGGAGTTGTGCAGTTTAATTCCCACACAGTAGTGTGGACAGCACACAGAGCAGTTTGTCATGAGAGCATGGGCACGGGGTGATTTGCTGCCTCCCTGAAATATGGGGTGATTAAATCACTTAGGTGGCTTCTGGCCTGATTTATTCCCCAGCCTGGCTGGAACCGTGCGTGTGAGGCACATTAACCTGTAGAGCCTGCAGCATCTGTCCCAGCACCTCCTGCTGGAGGGAGCACCGCTGCACTGAACCACAGCCCGGGGTCCCCTTTGTGGCTGGAAGGGTTGGGCAGGAATGTTTAGAGGTCCCCCTGGCCCCCTCAGGATGCAGTTGGACACGTGCTCTTTGCTTACCAATGTGTCTTGTCTCTCCTGTTCCCAGCTCCCCCTGATGAACCAGTGGAAGGACGAATTCAAAGCCCACTCCAGGGTGAAATGTCCCAATGCAGGCTGCTGGCTGGAGTTCCCCAGCATTTATGGCTTGAAGTACCACTATCAGCGGTGCCAAGGGGTAAGGAGGCTGGAGAGGGCTGTCTGTCCTCTCCAGTGCCCTGCTCTTACCTTACCATCTACAGAGCAAAGCCCCTCTTGGGCCTTAAACCCCCAAGAGAAACATGACAGGGCACGGATGGGCCAGGGATGGTTCATGAGGTGTGAATGAGAGAGACTGGGGTCCCTCCAGCTCAGTGTGAGGTCTGGCCTGGGGGCATTGTGGGCTGTTGGTAGCCATGTGGAGGGGCAGATTTGTATTCATGCCTGCATCAGAAGCAGCCTGTCCCTTTCATGGTCTAACATCCGTGCTCCTCTGCCTCTCCCTGCTCCACACAGGGTGCAATCTCAGAGAAGCTGACATACTCATGCTCGTACTGCGAAGCTGCCTTCACCTCCAAAACCCAGCTGGAGAAGCATCGGCTCTGGAATCACTTGGACCGGCCAGTGCCAACCAGCAAAGCAGACAACAAAGTGCCCAAGGCCATTGGGAAGAGCAGTGGCAAGAAAAGGTACCAGGCTGTGGCTGGGCTGCATGATACTTGCATAGGGATGGCTGGGAGAAGGGGAGTGTGCCCACCTCCATTCCCATGATCTGGGCTGGCGAGGGGGGAGAGGTGTCAGGACATTCGTGTAACAACCCCTCTTTAAACGAGCCCTCTGTGCTTTGCCCTAGAGCTGCTGAGAGTTCAGCTTGCCCCACCATCCATCCCAAACAGGCAAAGACGGACAAAGCCGTGGCCCAGGACCACACGGAGAATGGCGAGTGCCTGGCGGAGAGCCGGGAGAGCAAGGAATTCCACATCGCCGGAGCCGAGGCCATGGCAGCCGCCACCCCTACAGCCAAGTCCTCCAGTGGCAAGGACACCATGCAGCAGGGGGGCAGCCAGGCCTCACTGCAGGAGGAAGACCCCGAGAGGATGAAGCACAGTAAGATTAGAGCCCGGGGCTACGCTGCTTCCAGAGCCTAGAGAGGGGTGTCCTGGGAGAAGGGGCTCTGCTCCAGTGTCTCCCTGAATGTTCCCAAGTTTCAGCACCCTGATAATTTGCCCCCAACTCAGTTTCTTGTGGCTCCACTGGGAGTTAAAGCTTGGTGGTAGCTGTGGGAGAGGTGGAGGGGGACTCTGAGGCACCAATGCAAGAGGGACATGGACCTGCTTAAGAGTCCAGAGGAGGCCACGGAGCTGCTGCAAGGGCTGTAGCAGCTCTGGCTGAGAGAGCTGGGCTGGGGCAGCTGGAGAAGAGAAGGCTCCTTAATGGGAGACCTTGGAGCAGCTCCAGTGCCTAAAGGGGCTCCAGGAAACCTGGAGAGGGACTTTAGACAAGGGCCTACAGGGACAGGACAAGGGGAATGGCTTTAACCTGCCAGAGGGAAGATGAGCTGCAGGGGCTGTGGAAGCCACATGGCTTTTGGCACTAGACAGAGCCACCACTTCCACTTTTTGAATTAACCCTGGATACCACTATTTCTCCTGGGGTTTTGGGGTGGGAATCAGCATCCTGATACTGTTTGGTGGGTGGTGTCACGCAACAGCCCCATGTTTCACAAGGGTAAAGGCCTCAAGGTGATCTGCTCCTGACATGGAGTGTGTGCCCACCCCATGCCCTGGGACTGCTGAAACCCTCCCAGCCGTACCCTTATTTGACCAAATCTCTCTCTCTGTTTCTCTCTTTTGAGTCAGGAAGGAAACAGAAAACTCCTAAGAAGTTTACGGGGGAGCAGCCATCCATCTCGGGGACGTTTGGACTGAAAGGTAACAGAGGGATGACTCTGGCCAGCTATAGGGTTGTAGCTTCATCCTGGGGCAACAGCAGGTGGAGATATGGGGCAGACACCGGGAGCATGGGGACATCATGCTGGAGGAGCTGGTGCCTTTCACCACAGGAGTTTTGTAAAGGGAATTGAAGGCAGCAGCAGAGCTGGCACTGGTAACAGCCCTGCTTGGGAGCCTGTCGCTGGGAAATGAGGGAAGAGAGGAAAGGATCCGGGTATGTCTAGCTGTATCAGAAGAGTAACGAGCTGCTGACACAAGCAAGGCACGAGAAACCCCACCTCATCATCATCATCATCGTCCCACCATCCTGGGATGTCACAGCATTCCCAATGGCATCGAGGAGGATTTCTGTGCCTGGAAAAGCGGTGTGACGCATCCATCCCTCAGATGATGCTCCAGTGCTGGTCGCCCACAGTCAAGAAGAACATGAATTCAGGGGAGAAGAGACGTGTTGCTGGGATGTTTTCTGAGAGGAGGATCAGAATTTGCTGCTTCAGCCTGACAAAGCAAGAGCAAGCAGGAGTGTGCTCATGCTCCAGAAGTATACCCAACGGGGATGGAAAGCAGGGAGGAAACGGGAGCATCCCTGGTACCAGAGCAACTGGATTCAGATTGACTATGAAATATGCTTGATCAGGGAAATAACAAGTGGATTTCCAGGCAGGAGGCAGCACCTTCCAGTACGAGAGGCACTCAGGGGAGAGGCACTAATGGCTTTGAAGGACTTAAACACTTATTGATGAGCAGTCTGGATGTGGTCTCTGCAACTACCTTTCCCCTGGCTCCTGGCAAGTCTGGGGTTGTTCCCCTTAACTACCCCATAGAGGCACTGCCACAGACTGAAACGTCTGCTGTGGGTTCCTCAGGAGTAAGCTGGACCCACTGCCTCAGATGGAGAGTGAAGATCAGGCAGGTGTTTGCCTCCGTCCGCTGGGCTCAGTGTGGCAGTTCACTCCCCAAAGACAAGGGTGTCACCAGCCTGTTGTGGGTGCTGTCTGCATCCAGACCTGGGGTTTGCAGGAGTCACAACTCACACTTTCAGAGGGATGTGGACCCTCATGGGGCAGGTGTGGATCTGACCCTGGCACTCGGTGTTTTCCATTTGGATATGCCAAAGGATTCTGCGTGGCAGAGCGGGATCGGGCAGCACTGCTGCTGCTGGCACACTCTCAGCATGTGCTGACCCTCCTCCTGCTCACTTCACCCCGCTTGGTACAGGGATGATGGGCTAGTTGGCAGCAATGCCTGTAGCAGGCTGAATGGGAAAGACATACTTTGCCCATGCAGCCAGGCAGGGATGAGGCACAGACAAGGTGAGAGAGTGGATGTGTTTTGGGGAAGTGGCTGGGAACCTGGCACTGTGCAGGCACAGAGAGCCCTGCCTTCGATGCCTCCATCTCTGCAGGCAGGCTTTGTGACAGTCACCAGCAACCCAGGGAGCCGGGCCAGGTTTCCTCTTCCCCATATGCCTGTTGCCTGGTCATCCCTCCCTCCTCTTCTGGTCCTTCCTGATCCTTCCCAGCACCCATTGGGATGGGGAGAGACCTGTGTGCATCAGGACAAGTGCATATAGATCCAGGGACAAAAGGTCTGGTGTCTGGGATCCCAGAGTTCACCCAGTTTTCTAAGAGGGACCACAATTCCTTGGCATAACCAGTTAGACCAGTGCAGGAGCATCAGCCGGAACATCGCTTTTATACCCTGCATTTGCTGTTTCAATTCCCCATTTCAGTTAGTTTCAAAGTGCCCTCCTGCCTCTTCCTGTCTTTCTCACAGTCTGCCTTTCCAGCAGCACCCTACCCCACTTTGCCATGGTGTTTCCCCAGTTCATAAACTGTCTGGCTTGGGGGAAGTGATTCTGTTTATAAAACACCACAAGCTGTTATGATATTGCTTGTCATAATTATGGACCTGATCCTACACATACATCCTTGGCAGAGCTACAGCCAGTTTGGTGTCTCTGGGTTAGTGAAAGACATTTTTTTTACCTGCTGAATGTGAGTTGGTCTGAGGGTATTAAAGCAAGTACTGAATAAAAGTCCCTTTTCTCTACAGGGCTTGTCAAAGCAGAGGACAAGGCGAAAGCTCATCGAGCCAAGAAGTTGGAGGGGAACACCAACATAGAGGAGCTGAAAAAGAAACCTCTAGGAGCTGGTGTGAAGAAGGAAACGGCTGTGCATCTACCAGCAGGTGAGGCTGGCGGAGCAAAGCAAGGGAGCAGCTCTGTTAGCTGCTTACCCTGTGCTCTGCTCCAAGCCTGTGTGATCCCCACTTCACACCATGCTCCCCACCTTCACCCGCAGGCAGTGATCCCACATCCCTTCTGGCCCAGCGGGCTCTTTACTGGGTGAGTTTTACAGCAGGTTTGCAAGCAGAAGCAGCACAAAATGAGCCTATTTCCACCTGGCTTCACTGTGGCCACAGTTTGGGTCAGCGTGTGGGATGATGGCATTTTCCTACCATCATCTCCATGAATGCTGCCAGTGCATAGCTGAGCATGCCTGTCTTCTCCGAGGCGCATCCTGCATCCTAGCGCAGGTTGCTGACTTGCCTTGGGAGCTGTGACAGCAGGAGGAACGCAGGATGTGCGAGATAAACACAGCTGCAGTGCCTTGCACTGCTTTCACATTCAAATAAACCACTCTGAGATCTCAGAGCTGTGCAAAAGCATCCAAATAAACAGACTTGGTGGGTTTGATTCAGGCTGGGCTTGCCTTGCTGGAAGCCCAACACCGCTGTGCTGAGAATCAGCGTGAGCTCTGGACGTGGGAGCAGGTTTTGGCCCCACGTATCTATTTTAGGTGGGTTTTAAGCCAGGCACAGACATTTATATAAAGAGATGCTTGGAAGCTAGCACTCCCCTCGCTGCCTGCGTGTCTGCTGGGAAGAGGACTGCCAAGGAAGCTTCCCAGGCACACATCCAGATGGAGCCAAGATGCTCACCTTAGTTTCACTCCTGCTCATTGTTTCATGTGGCAAGGGGCAGTTATTCCACACAGGGCAAGATCAGGTAGCCAAGGATATCATCATATTTTAACTCCCAGCGTGCAGGATATAGCTGGGCTGGAAAGGTGGTGAACCTCCTTGTCCCCATCAAGTGCCAGCAGGTCAGCTAACTCCATGTGAAGTGGCCGAGTTGACCCAGTTTGCCCAGGCAGCTACAGGAGCTGTGGGGCAGGCAGAGCTGTACAGTTCATGTCTGGTTTTGGGCTTCATCTATGCCTGGGAGAGTGTTTCTTCTTTAACAGCAGGAACTTTCCCCACTTTGGTGCTTTTCAGGGTGGCAAACAAGGCTTGCAACAGGCTTGTCCTCAGCCCAGGCAGGCTGTGGGCTCTGTGCCTGGGTGTAACATCTCTCTCCTCTCCCTTACAAGCAAACCCTGAGGACCAGTGGCAACGGGAGATCAGTGAGAAGGGAGAAGTCGCCTGTCCAACCTGCAGTGTTATAACCAGGAAAACTATTGTGGGGCTCAAAAAGCACATGGATGTCTGCCAGAAAGTAAGGACTTGCTTTATCCAATCACCCACTTATGGATTGTGGAGGGGGATGACTGCATATGTGTGCCACTCATAAATGTGTACTGGTGCAGTGGGCTGGGGTTGATAAAACACTTGCTGGTCATCTTCAGAGGCTGCCTCTCACTGATCCAGGGGGATTTGGACACCCCATTCCCTGGAAGTGTTCAGAAAACATGTGGATGGAGGCCCTTAGTGCCATGGTTTAGTGGTTTTACTGGGGTAAAGGTTGGACTTGATGATCTTAAAGGTCTTGCCCAACCCAGCTGATCTTGTGATTCTCAGAGATGCTGAATCTCTTTGTGGTCTGAGGCCCTGGCCCCAGTGTCTCCAGCAGAGTTTAGTATTTCTAGTAGCTAAATGAATAGTTTTAAGGCTGAAGAGATTGTTGGAGCTGTCTCTAATCTGGCCTCCTCCTGAGTCCTGGCTGTGGGATTTCCCTGTCCCACGCCTTGCATCAGGCCAGATAAATTGTGGTTGAATGAGAGCACGTCTCGGGGAGGCATCGTGCTTGGATGTGCTCAGGCAGGCTGTCAAGAGCAGGAGTTCAGTAATGGTGCAGTGAGAAACTGTCTCTGTGCCACAGCACCATCCATCAGAGCAGAGGATTACGTCCTCATCCGTCACCTGGAGCGGTGCAGAGCCATCAGCACAGAGAGCCAGCACAGGATCGATGCCTCCTGCCTTGAAAATAGGTGGCTCAGCTTTGATTCCACATCCATTTTCTTTAAATGCCTCCTCAGCCTTTGCCTCTCTATTTACCCAGCAGTGGGAGGCTGCTCTCCCTTTCAAACCCTGGGCTGCACCGATGCTGGGCAGGATCCTGCCTCCTCTCGTGTCCTCGTGGCTTCGGTGGACTGGGGATCTTGGCCATCACTGCTCATATCTCCTGTGCTTTGGAGCATCTCCCAAGCCAGGCAGGCTCTGTGCAGGCCTGGGGCTTCATCCCTTCAAGTGGGTGTTTGTCACCCTTCAAGTGGGTGTTTTGTCACCCTTCCCTGGGAGGGACAGTCCTTGCTGGGGCTGGGATGCTTTGTGGAATCCCTGCCAGGGCAGTCTATGGTCCCTGGAGGACAGTCCTCAAGCTCTGGGTGTGTGACCACAGGTCCAGCTCTCAGCATTTCACCTCCAAGATGAACCTATGGCACATCCTTAAGAAGGTTTCACTGCTACAGGCATGTGATATCCCCAGCAGAAGTGACCCTGGAGCAGAGGCACCCTCTCAACTTGCTCTCTGCTTTAATGGCTGAAGTATTTCTTAGCTGGACAATGGGAAGAGGATGTGCAGGCTCCCAAAACTCTTATAAACCAACGAAAATTGGTTTCTCCATTCCTTGCTTGTTGCTGAGCAGTCTGCTCTGTTTCCTTTGGGTTTGGAAAGGAAATAAGGGATGGGGACAGTGGCAACACGCTGGGGCCTGAAGGAAGTGAGAGCAGGTATATCCTCCCAGTGTCCTGGCTTGTTGGAATGTGGACATGGCATATTCTCCAGTGTGGACAAGAGGAGTAAACCCCAAATTGGTTGGCATTGGTATCTGATGAGTCAAGGAGCTTTTAGCATCCACCTTGTTAGGGTCAAGCACTTGGGTCTGTGCTTAGGACCACAGGTACAAGTGAGCCTTTCCCTGGCTCTATGAGTTTATTCTTCATTTTCTCAGAGCTCCAGGATGAGGAGGGATTTGCGGCTTCATCTTCATTCCCTTTCCAGCTTCTAGTCCAGGTTTGATGGAAGGGGAAGTGGTGAAGGTGAAGCATCAGCCAGGCAGGAGGAGCAGGAACGGCTGCAGCCATCCAGGCACCAGTTCCCTGTCGAGACATCCTGTCACTTGGTGCCCAGAACATTCACCTCTTGAGTCAATACGTCCTGGTACCTGCCCCAGCACAAGTCATGTTGTGCTTATTCACTTTGCAAGTTCCCCTTGTACGTTGCTGTGTGCATTTAATGCATCTCCCCAGTCACTCAGGAGGCCAAGTCAGGTCAAAAGCAGAGCAATAGGAGGTGGGAAGAACTCTGCTGTGACTGTGTCCAGCAGAATCTTAATTTCAAACAGCCCAGGCACCCAGAAAGCATTTTGTGCACCAGCATCTGTTGTAGTTAATAGTGCTGCAGAGCACAGTCCACTAACATATTGGTAGATCAAAGCTGCTTCTCTGTCCTAACCCTTTAACAGGAAAACTCAGATACCAGGTCCAGATGTTTGCAGCCAGCAGGGCTTTAAATCTACATCCAAAATGGAATGTTTTCCAAAAACTGGGGCATGTGGGTTTGATAAGAATATCCAGGACAACAGAGAGAAAACTCCTAAGGTAGAGGATGAGACTGGGATGGGGGACAGGGCTGGTGTGTTGCCTGCTGGGTCCCACTGCTAGGTACTGCTGCCCATGGGGCTTCCTGA